ATTTGTCAACAACGCTGCAGATATTTTGCAAACGTTTTGAGTTAAAGGCAGAATCAGCCGTATTTATATTTGAAAAACTGTCTGAAAGGATTTGATGACAAATATGATACACGTATGCTTCTATCAAACCGGATGCACTTATTAATAAGTTTGACTAGACTTTGATTTGTTGTGTTTTCAATGACAAAGACTAATTCACTCTGATTATACCTTTCATTACTAATATGAGGCAACTACTACCGCCATTGTCTACATATTCACTCTTTTTGCTAAAATATTGTTAGCTCAGTTCACTTATAATAATGTGATAATGTGAGATTCATTAATGGCCAGGCTGTACGGTCAGTTAATCTCTCTCTACCACTAATTCATCGAGTTGCCAATTATAGAATTATAACATTATAAAAAATCCTTATCGCCCACAATAAAGAAGGTAACAGTTTCTTACCGGCCATGAAGAGAACGATGAAGAGACCAAGGAAAGTTCTCATGTTGAGGTTGTATTGTGTTAATTAAGACACTGTGCTCGTGATAATTAATGGTCTTGTTTTTATAGAGTCCGCAAGTCATTTAATACGCCTTTAATCCCATTACGAACCACGGGGCTGTGCTAAAGTTAGCCTTCCTGCTGTCTTCGTGGTAGGGAGGTTACACCATCTGAGGCAACCCCTGGCGATGACAAGTTGCATTAAACATGTTTTGTGATGAACGCATGGAATAATATTCACCCACACATGAACATATTGTGAGACTGAAAGTGATGTGTCCTTTGAAGCATATCGTGGTGGACATGGTATTTCTACGCAACTGGGATGCGATGACATGCTTGGACACCCGATCCCGTTAGTTGCCTCTTACGACCAAACTGGGTTACCGAACATCATTCTAACTGTAATCCTCAGAGAGGAATAATATACATGTATTTATATGGTACACATTAAGAGTGAGTGGGTTTGCCTTAACCCGGCTTTGAAAAGTAGTGAGTGAGTATGGTTTTACGCCGTTTTAGTCACATGAGAAGTACTGAGAAGCTGACAAAGCATATTAGTCAGGGCGGTTTTATGCTCATCAATCCAGTTATACATCAGTATAGCTCATCTCAAAACAGTTGCTCACATGCATCCTCCAGATTCAGTTTGCCATGTTGCTCATTGAGATTATTGTTGCTGTTATAATTGTAACTTTTCTGGAACTTCTCATCGAACAGTACCAATACTTCTCATCAAACAGTACCAATACTTCTCATCAGAACAGTAACAATACTTTTCATCAAACATTACCGATACTTTTCATCAAACTCTACCGATAGTTCTCATCAAACACTACTGATACTTTTCATCAAACACTACTGATACTTCTCAGAAAACAGTACCGATACTTCTCAGAAAACACTACTGATATTTCTCTGAAAACATTACCGATACTTCTCAGAAAACACTTCACTGACTGATACTTCTCATCAAACACTAAAACATTGCCGATACTTCTCATCAAACACTACCGATACTTCTCATCAAACACACCTTCCAAATATTACAAACACTGATACTTGCTCATCAAACACTACTGATACTTCTCATCAAACACCAAACGTTGCTGATACTTCTCATCAAATATTACCGATACTTCTCATCAAACACTACTGATACTTCTCATCAAACACTACCGATACTTCTCATCAAATATTACCGATACCCCTCAGAAAACACTACTGATACTTCTCATCAAACACTACCGATACTTCTCATCAAATATTACCGATACCCCTCAGAAAACACTACTGATCCTTCTCATCAAACATTGCCGAAACTTCTCAGAAAACACTGCTGATACTTCTTTGCAAAAAGTACCGATATTTCTCATCAAACACAACTGATACTTCTCATCAAACATTGCCGATACTTCTCAGAAAACACTACTGATACTTCTCAGAAAACAGTACCGATACTTCTCATCAAACACCACTGATACTTCTCATCAAACACTACTGAAACTTCTCCGAAAACAGTACCGATACTTCTCATCAAACACTACTGGTACTTCTCATCAAACACCACCGATACTTCTCATCAAGCACCACCGATACTTGTCAGCAAACACTACCGATACATTTCATCAAACATTACCGATTCTTCTCATCGAACACTACCGATACTTCTCATCAAACTCTACCGATACTTTTCATCAAACAATACCGATGCTTCGAATTCTCATCGAACGGAACCGATATCGAGATTCAAATGTCGCCGAAAGGGCTCATGAACATTTACGATAGGTATCAACAAACCCAACTGAAGCATCTCATCAAATATTACCAAGATTACATTACTGACACTTCCAATAAAACATAAAAGTGTTTCTCATCAAACAATGATGATACATCACAGTCCATTTCCGGACAAGTGCTAAAAGCGAGGGAGAATTGTTCTCACTTATTCAGCAACTTTCACCCCAATGTGTCACCTTGTCAGAATGCAAATACAAGGTCATGGTTATAAGCTGGACTCATTTGCTAGTAGTGTTTCACATGTTTCACAGCATGGTAATTATTTAGTTATATTTATGTTTCATATCATCTGTTTTATCTGACCATAACACAAATACAATAACGATCGCGTACCATGGTTCATAGTTGCTTGTTTGTTGGTTAACGCCGCAGTCAGCAATATTCCAGCTACATGGCTGCGATCTGTAAATAATCGAGACTGGACCAGGCAATCCAGTGATCGAAATCATGAGCATCGTTCTACGTAATTGGGAAACGACGAGATGTGTCAACCAAGTCAGCGAGCCTGGCCACCTGATCCCGTTAGTCGCTTCTTACGATAAGGCCAATTTTAACCCGGATCTTAATTACTGGTAACCGTGGTTAATGAAAGCCCCACCAACATCAGTTCAATAAGCGTATGATTATAGCACTATCTGGTCTAAACACTGCATCCTCTATTATATTCATATTATGATATCATAAATTTTTTCAAAGTTTCATGTTTTTTTGCTTTGCACTTTTGCAAAGTTGATCAATCGGCCGAGAGTGGATCATGACTTGCCCCTCTTCTTGTCCAGAACTGGCAGGAGTTGTCACGTATGGACACAGCATGAGTAGAACATTGCGTGTGGACGTCATGTGTTGGACTGACGAGAAACAGTATCATTATGATAATTTTAGACAGTGTAATTGTTACATATGTAATACAATAGTTGTTTCAATCCCGCACATAATGCATATATATTTATTCACATGATGGTATCATCCCAAATGTGTCACATACGATATTTGTTAAAATGAATGACTGTGTTTTTCTTAAACATTGTACTTTTCACAATTATATATGCTTCTTATAATGCCCTTGTCTTCATTTGACTTTGTACAATATTAAGTGTTTTGTCTTCAAGTGAGTGGGTGAATAAGTATGGTTTTATGCCGCTTTTAGCAATATTCCAGCAATATCGCGGCGGGGGACACCAGAAGTGGGCTTCACACATTGTACCCATGTGGGGAATCGAACCCGGGTCTTCAGCGTGACGAGTGGACGCTTTAACCACTAGGCTACCTCGCCGAACCTAATGTTTTCAGCTGTTTTGGTACATACATCTTGATGGATAGATAGACAGAGAGATGTGTGTTTCTGTGCGTGCGTGCGTGCGTGCGTTCGTTCGTAAAAATGTGCGGCAACGTGATATTTTGGCATAATGTCGCAATGTGGCTTTGTTGCTCTTTGAATATTTCTTGTTCCACAAAAAAGGGCGAAAAGCAACAGTTTCTAAAGAGGTCGCGTTTTTTGTGCTTTGGTTCATCTTTGACAGGTTTTGCTTGTTTACTGTAAGGGCGAGGAAGCGACAACGTCCCTTCTAGGATTCCATACTGCTGAATGTGTATTATAAACAGAATTATACGAAAACAGCTGCACGGGGTCAACTGAACTGTAAAATGTAGGCTATTGTGATTTTAGGCATGGTCACCGACTGTGAGTGAGCATCGTCACATGCATAACATAACTAGGTGTTAAAGCATGATCTACTGTTACAAATTTATTCATGTGATCAATAATGTGTGTGTTTTAAGCGTAACTCTATACCACATATGCTGCAAACAAGTATCCAAGTAGGTTTTACGTATTGGCAGGAACAGCTGGTGTCAGTACAGCCTTATGGTGCAATAGCGCATGGTTGTCTTTGTATCTCACAACGTGTACCGTACGTGGGAGTGAATTAGTGCATTAGCAATTGTGTGCGTGTGTGCATGCGTGCGTGCAGTATGCGAACTGGTGTGTGTACCAGCGTTTGAACCGATGTTTGTACGCGAGTGTGAACCACACTGTGTGAACTGATGTGTCTACCATTATGAACCTGAATATCACGTGTGGGCTTAACACATTGTTATGTGTGAACCTGTGTGTGTGAGCCAACGTGTGTGTGTGTGTACAGTGTGTGTAGTGTGTGTGTGTGTGTGTGTGTGTGTGTGTGCGCGCGTGCACAGTATGTAACATGGTGTATGAATCACTGTATGAACCGGTATGTGTGTCAGTCTGTAAACCAGGATGTGTGTCGGTGTGTTTACCAGTGTGTGAACCTGCTTCTGTACAGTATGTGTATCTATGCGTGAACCAGTGTCCCTGTGTACCATGTTATGTGTCAGTATGATTACCGTGATGTGTACTGGTGTGTGAACCACAATGTTGCCAGTGTAGCAGTATGTGCCACACAATGTGAGTACAAGCCAGTGTACTAATGTACTAATCCGTTTATGACATAGTTGTATGTGTGTACCGCTGTATGTATCAATGACTATACCAGTGTATGTACCAGGCAATCAACAGGTGTGTTAACCAGTGCGTAACAACACGTGTACCAGTGACTGGATTATATCATATTAAACAAGAGAGTCACACACAGCACCAACAATATTATTATTGATTTCTTTAAGCTGGGAAGTACACCCCATCCTAAACTGTACGAATATCTTCTTCCGGTTTCATTGAAAACATCAAACATAAATATGAATATTTGTTTCTTTAATTTCACATGAGCAGTAAACACAGTGTTTGGAGTACGCAGCATGTCGTATTTGTCGTCTCGTGTTGATGTAGCAGACAATCTCCCGCCAGCAGGAGAGGCAGCACCTGTACAAAATACAATTCTTGTATTGGAATACCAGGTTCCATCTTTGTATCAACATGTTACAAGGACTATACAACCGTTTATTCTGATTGTAATTCTGGTCTCTTGTTAAGTTCATAAAGGAAACGTCATATTGGGCGAATATTGTCTATTTGTAATTACTTATACAAGGCTGGCCATCTTCCCAAGGCAAGGGAGTTAACTATATTGTAAAAACTGGACTTTTAGCAAAACAATTTGTTTTAATCCATTTCAATAAGCAGAGGATCCTGTCATTTCATGAAAATACCTGAATACAAATAATACACTTTTAAATGTAATGTTTTGGTCCAGTATGTATACTTATATATATGATAGTTCAACTTGTATTAATATGTTGGGCGCAAATAGACCCTATTTCTGGTCCAAGTAGCCCTTAAGTATGTACAATGGGATGACCGTTCTGTCCACGATACAACTTATATCGCAAAAAGAAACATCGACACATCCCCATAATGTATTGCCCTCATAGATTTATGAACCGCTTTTTCTCCAAGTTATTCACCATGGAGCACCATTGAACATTATGAGCGTGATTGGGTCATTATTGTGTGGAAAAGCGTGAAGTAATACAAAATATTCATGAGTACCGTACCAACCATAATCTGGTCAAATCCGCCATTCGAAACATTGTCCGCCGAGCCTGGCAAGACTAAGGGGAACAACTCTATACAGTATGTTTCGTTGCCTTACAAAACTGCAACATCCACGCTGCAGATTTTGTTTAAGTTAAAACGGGTTAGTGAAGTACCTGTATCTATTTTCCAGGTGTTGTGATGATGAGAGGGATGTTGGAGGAGTGGCTGCCGCCGCTGCTGCCTCCCATGGGGTAGGGGATGGGGACGGGGATGCCGTGCCTGCTGTGGTGGCTGCTGTGGCTGCCGTGGTGACAACAGCAGGCGTCGGAGAAGGACATCAGGCAGGCTGAAACAAAGCAAATGCCTCTGAATAAATACCACCAAGTCCAGAATTAGACGCCATTGAGGCATCGTCAGTGTCTTCTAAGTCAATGAAACTAAGTGAGTGAGGTTAGTTTTACGCAGCTTTTAGCAATATTCCACCAGAATGGGCTTCACACATTGTACCCATTTGGGGAATCGAACCCGGGTCATCTGCGTGACGAGCGAACGCTTTAACCACTAGGCTACCCCACAGCCCCTCTAAGCTGTTGACCTCAGTCTGGTAAAATAGATAAATGTTGAGCTGTATATGAAACTTACTTGAGAGAAGGAGCGTCAGGAACAGGCCGAGGAAAGTGTTCATCTTGAAGATATTTTTTATCCGAGGATAATGTGATGTTCAGTTCTCCACTGTGAGTATATATAGTGTTGGTAGGCTAAACGTCACACGCCTTTAATCCGGTTAAGCCTTTCTCTCGCTGTGGCACCCCACTGTTTTGTCAACATGTCAACCACGCGTGGACGTTATTTGATAAATATATTAAATACCGGGATGAAATATCAAATGCATAAGTGATAAAAAATGACAAGAATGGCATAATGGCATGTAACACAAGTGTTCTGCGCACCGTGGGGATTCTGGGTGAGAATGGACCTGAGTAGCCAGGCTGTTTCCCTGTCAGGTTACGAGAGCAGGTTCACGGGCATCAAAATGAAGAGAATTTTAAAATGTTTGGAATAGTTCAAAATCATGATGCGTGTCATGGCTGGTTACGTATCACTGTACTCGAACAGCGTGAGTTGTTATCAACCATTAGTTTGACATAAGGCTAGAATGTGTCGAGTTCGTAAAGTACGATGTATTCATAGTGTGGAGAATGGGGGCATTAAGTACAGATGTAATGTATTGAGTGGGTGAGTTTAGTTTTACTCCGCTTTAGCAATATTCCAGCAATATCAATGCGGGGGACACCAGAGATTGGCTTCACACATTGTACCCATGTGGGGAATCGAAGGTCCGCGGCGTGACGAGCGAACGCTTTAACCACTAGGCTACCCCACCGCCCCTGTAACGTATTGAGTACAGGCCAAATAAGAGTGTGCATAAGTCATGAAAGAACGTAGCCATTTAAGTGCGGAGTCCAGAAAGTAAAAAGACGTGTAATTAGGGAATAACTGTACTGTGTTTGACGAGCTGAACTATAAAGCCCATTTCAACTACGAGTTTCAGCAGTTACGTTAACGCTGGAGAAGACAACACGACATCTTCACCATTGTAGACATTCGAATGTGGACTAGCGCTGAGCCATCATACCTTCAGTATCTCTAAAGTGCGGAGTTACAAAACAGATGTCACTTCAGTTACAGGCTTCTAATGTTAAAAGTGCAATGCCACTACGGCATCTCGCCTCTATAGTATAGTAAAGTCAATGTAAGGAGCTCTGAAGTGATCGGGAAAATATAAAATATATATCTAATGTTATATTTTCCGAAATGTGAACAGATTTGTTATTTTCTATAATGTTTCAGAAATACTGGAACTATGGTCATAGTCAGAATTGGCAGGTTACCAATTAAATACATAATCGCCATTCAACAACATTTCCAATCCGACTTTTCTGTCTACCACAACACTGTTGCATTTACTGATGGGAGTCTATATTTTCATTCTCCAATGTTAAATACATCGGTATAGGATCAAAGTAGTCGGGTCCAATTTTATATCACGATTTTGTCCCGGATATAATAATGGTTTATGTGTCTGCAAACGGTGCTGTTCATGTTCTGTGCTGTATGTAACGTTTTTCGTATTGTGACCTGTGTGATTTGTTAACTGTAAATTCAAAGGATAACAAAAAGAAAATAATTTAACCTTATCTTGGTCTGGGCTGTGTTTTTTTTTTTTAATGGGACCACGACACATTCAGGTGACTGATAAAGGTGCTCGATGTGGTCCCATTGGAACCGTATTCTTGCCCTGGCACATGTATTTCATAACCCGAGATACACGTGCACAAGGCAGATGGACGATTTGTTCACGTGCACCATGACGCACAGCGCGACTCACATAATTCACTGCCTGGGAAAGCTGCCGTTTACCTTTTGATTGACGTGTTATGCATGTAAAACAGTAAAATGTAAAAACAACCAGTAGAATATCAAACCACGACGGAAACATTATTGATCTTTAAATATTTATTTCAAAATTTACATTTAACAATATGAAAAGAGGATAAATGTACATATGCTTGTCATGGATATACACTGTTACGTCAGCATTGTCGCATCAGCACCATTGTTATTGCAACATATGTAGGAATAATTTTCTTAAATTATACATGAGTAGATATACGTGCTAAAACACCTGTGCACGCATCGATTTAAATGTAAAAGAGCATTACTGAGTTATCATAATTTCCAAATCATTCCATCGACTACCACAAAAACACATCGCAAATTATTGTCAGCTGCGCATGTGTGAGCAAAGTATGTAGGGGCCGTGTGTCTCTACCAAACAAAATAAAAAGTAAAAGTGAAAAACATAATATACACTCCCAAAAAAGAAACGCATATAGGAATTTCAACTGTATTTTTATGTTTATTTTGAAACATCTTGTAGGCTTTATGAGTCAATGAAATATAGCGAAATTGCGTACTGGGAATGCAGACTTATCCGTCTTTGGCACCGACTCGAGGAAAGTCAGTTTGAGTGTCACATGGAGACGTGTGGTGGCGCTGAAATCAATACCTCGTGTGACCACCGTGGGCATCCAGAACTGCACGGCATCGCCTCGGCGTCGAACGAATAAGTCTCAGAATCTCGTGCTGCCCAATCGCAGCCCACTCTGCCTGTAGTGCCTGTGCGAGTTGCTGAAGGGTCTGGGGCTGAGGGTTACGGCGTCGCACCCGTCTGTCCAGGGCATACCACAGATGTTCAATCGGGTTTAAGTCCGGTGATCTTGAGGGCCAGGGGAGCACATTGATGTTGTGGTTTTCGAGGAAGTCTCTAGTGTGACGTGCTGTGTGGAGCCTGGCATTGTCCTGTTGAAACAACTCCCTCTGGCGATCAATGATTCGAAGGAGGTGTGGGCGTAGGATTTCGTCACAGTGCCGTTGAGCTGTCAGGTTGCCCTGGATCATCACCAAATCACTTCTCCTACGGCAGGTGATCGCTCCCCACATCATAACACTTTCCCGGCCGAATCTGTCCACCTGGGGAACGCAAACGTCGGCGAAACGTTCACGTCGACGTCTGTACACCCGCACTTTCCATCGCGTCGTTCCAATAGAAATCGTGATTCATCACTGAACCAGATTCTACGCCAATTCGGTAGGTTCCAGGCCTGAACGTTGGTGCACCATTGAACTCGATGTCGACGATGTTGTTGTCGAGGCACAGGGCCAAAATAAGGTCTTCTGGCACGTAAACCAGCCTCTCTCAACCTGTTCCTGCAGAGAGCCTCCTCAATCCGGGTATTTGTCGAGCGGTACTGGTCGCCGTAGCTGTTCGATGACGCAGGTGATGTACCCGGATGTAGCGATCCTGCGCCGCAGTGGTCACTCGAGGTCGCCCACTACGAGGGGCATCTGCTACCGCATTCTGCCGGCGATATCTCTCCCAGAGCCGTGAAATGGTGCTTTGGCTTCACTTAGACGTGGCATTTTGCGTTCGTCAACAATATTCCAAATACAGTGAATAATCGACGGACAGCGATCAACCTTTTATACCCATCAATGAGAGTATCTGATCCCCAACTTTCACGTGCATTGCATGTGAATTGTGTATTCTGTGACACTAAACGCCGAAATTGAAAATCAAGCTGTTAAATACGGGTATTTTACGGATGGTGCGTTTTGTTGTGATGTTTCAAAACATAAACACCATAGGACTCATAAACAGAACAAAACCTTTTGTAAAATGAATCACGTTTTAATTCATTGCTACATGAAATTGCTATTTTCATGATGCGTTTCTTTTTTGGGAGAGTATATTTGACATGAATTAAAAGCAGCACCGGCCCTAAAGCTTAACACCAGGTAAACGCATTATGTACTATTTTACCTAACTTTATGATTAAAACAGCTGTATTTGAAAAAAAACATATGGAGTTTAAAATATGTAAAATTAAATCATTAAAAGTTCTGAATTACGTCACCGATATAAAAAAGAGGTGTTCACATAAAAGAAAGCTTTCCCTTGTATATATTTAAGGAGGTCTTGATAAAATTAGTCGAACACATTGTTTTTCATTAAATTGATTACTTCATCCTTTTAATATTTTTAAATGCGGAAAAATATATCCTACTTTAAACATAATTTTTCTTCCAAATCCGAATAGAAAAGACAAACAATTAAACAGCGTCAGCGTGATCAAACACTGTGTACAGAACATACCTATTTGAAGGTTAGCTGGTATGTTAAAACGACCTCGCATCTAACTTTAGGTTCTGCAATCCGTGTACCATTGATGGTAAAAAATGGTTATTATGTGATTTTCACATCAGTAAAAATCCGGGTTAGAATTGGTCTTCAGCAACCCATGCTTGTCGTAAGAGGCGACTAACGGGATCGGGTGGTCAAGCTGTCTGACTTCATCGTATCCCAGTTGCGTAGCTCGATGCTCATGTTGTTGATCACTGGGTTATTTACTGGAATATTGCTGAGTATGGCGTTAAACAACAACAACAAAAATTGTAAGCCTAGTTGGAGAGGTCGAGCATGAATGAGTGAATGTTGTTTAAATCCGCCAGCATTATTCCCCCCCTAATTCTCAATGGCCTGTAAATAAATCATTCTCTTCCCACAGAGGTTACTTGTCATATCTTCCTACGAACCTCTGTTCTAATAAGGCCCTTTCATGGTGCGAGTGTTCAGGATTCGTGATTGGTTGCAATCAGATTTAGTTGTGCAATCAGCGACGATGTTTCAAAAGTGATCATTCGCGAGGCCTCGGTAATTTCCGTATGCTTCGGGAAAACTAGAACCTATTCACCTGCGCGATGCGCAAACGATTCTTCTAGACGGAACTCAGTCATGTAATGGCGGATTAATGGCGTCTCCATCGCCCTCGTTGACAACGGACAAGCTAGCCATTAAATGTCTTGTGTGTCACATCAACACAAGTCCCCGACTGAGGAGGGATATTTGTGGCCCCACTTTTGCTTGTATTAGTCAAGTTGGATCTAAGTCGATGTAATACGTGTTCTGATTGGATAGAAAGAAGGGAGATAATTCGAGTTGCGATTTTTTGCCACTAGGGTTTTTTTTACGAGAACCGGAAAATATGGACGTATTAGAACAGAGGTTCGTAGGAAGATATGACAAGTAGCTTCTGCGTGAAGAGAATGTAAATAAATCAGTCTGGACAAGAAAAACAGTGACTGGAGGCATGCCGAACATTTCACACTGTTGAACAAGTCGATACACAATCAGCTACCTGACAGAGCCTGGCCACCTGGTCCATTTTATGTTCTTTGAGTGGCATTTAGAGGTTGGTGTGATGAACAACTGGGCGAGTTGTATAGATATACAACATCTTGTACGTAGCTGCACCGAAACATCGCTCATATTAATAGTAAAGAATTTGTATATCTATGGAACTCTCCCCGCTGTTAGTCCATTTTAGTCATGCTTATTGTAAGAGGCGACTAACGGGATCGGGGGTCAGGCTCGCTGACTTGGTTGACACATGTCATCGGTTCCCAATTGCGCAGATCGATGCTCATGCTGTTGATCACTGCTTTGTCTGGTCCAGACTCGATAAACAGACCGCCGCGATATAGCTGGAATATTGCTGAGTGCGGTTAAAAAACTAAACTCACTCACTCACTATATATTCGGCAATACTTACCCACTTTAGTCTACTCTTACGACAACCAAAGGAAACTGGGGCCGAATTCAACCACAGTATCCCCACGGGCCGAGATCCGAGATCTCACGATCGACACGGGCTGTCCGTGCGGAAAGTGGAAACCGTGACGTCTCGACGGAACTGTGATGTCCGACGACGCATCTGCGACGACAGATGAGTCTCAGGTGCGCGTTGAGATGACGTTCGACGAGGGTTCTAATTTCCAGCATTCCAGACAACGCCGGTGTTTGAATGATGTGTAAAACAAGCATCTCTAACGTGCTATGGTAACGTCCAGACTCTGTATTTAAGACGTGATTATATGCTTTTATAGTAAGACAGTTCGTCTTGATGTTGTTTGGTTGGCACCATTAGCCATATCGGGGCGAGTTTAATGAAGTCACGTTTATCCACTAACATATTCGAGGCTAATCTGTGATTCAAACCCATGATCACCGGATCTAAGGGAAACAACTCTTTACAGGTCTGTACCAACAGACCACACTACAATCGCGCAGTAGGGAACATAAATATCTAATTCAATTGCAATGCGAATTCAGCCATTCATTTATTAGGTTAAAATATTTGTTGTTTCTTTTCTAAGTGAGTGTATTTAGTGCTGATTGAACGTACAGTTTTCTATCGAAAAGTAATAAACATATTTAACTTCATGATTTAACGTTTGCTCGGTAATTCAACCCCATTTGCATGTATACATTTCCTAATAAACGGAGCCATTTTAAATTTACTATGTAGTTATTACGGCATACATACTGGATGACAAATAGCTATATTTTAGAACCATCAATACTGTCAGCTGTCAGTGTGTATCTGTGTCAGTATGTATCCGATATCAAATAATAATAATAATACATCATTGTACGTTATGGTTATTTACAAGTGTGACATGTTTTGTAATGGTCCTGCAGATATTGGAACAAAGTACGGCGTTAGGTTCTGAGACTCTTTATTCCTGACGATAGTTAGTTTGTTTGTTTTATCACAGATCGATGTGATCATCGATCTTCCATCACAAAAGACAAATAAAGGATTTTCTTCTTGACAGCTAAATCATAAGCGCCGGAAATCGTTAGGCAGACTTATGGTTCTTAGAGGCCAATATCAGCTCACCGTAGGTGCAGATCCTTAAAAGTCTGCCCTTAGTGATCGTTTGACTAGAATCAGTTTGGGCTTTCGCCCCAGATTTAGCTGACGCATTCTGATAAAAGCGGCTGTATACTCAAACTCTCACTCTTCTATCAAACGTTTTTCATAAACATAATGAGCTGAAGATAAACGAAATATTGCTAGAAAAGCTTGGTTTTTAGTAACCAACGTTCCATAAATGTCTCCAAAGAAATTCATACTTCCATTTGTAGTTGGTAAATTTGTTTATTATCACAAACATATATACAGCAGTAGGTGCCCGGCATTTGTAGTGTTGACTGCCGACCTGGTTGACACTGTACACGATTCCACGACCAGGGTAGGGAACTGATACCTGGCAGAAAGAAACCATTCATGTGTTCAATCAACAAATATCGACCTGTTGAAATAATGAGAGTAGTCATTAGTATGCGAGTGAATGAGTGAGTGAGTGTTGTCTAACACTCTGATAGCAGTTGTCCATATCACTGCGGGGGACACCAAAATTGGGCTTCACACGTTGTACCCATGTTTCGGCTCGCTCAGTTAGAAGGCGGGTGAGTGAGCAATCATAAATCTTCCTTGGACAGAGTCCCGATTTACATTGCAATATGGGTGGAAAACATGATATGATGAAGGTCGTATATGTCAACTAACCGCTGAAACCCATGAGGGTATTTTATTTTTTAGGTATTTTTTGTTTTGCTTACCCGTATCGGCGGTTGTTTGCCTTTACTTTAAAGGGACTTTACAACCTGGGTATTGTATTGCCGAATATAAAGTGAGTGAGTGAGTTTAGTTTTACGCCGCACTTAGCAATATTCCAGTTATATGGCGGCGGTCTGTAAATAATTGAGCCTGGACCAGACAATCCAGTGATCAACAGCATGAACATCGATATGCGCAATTAGGAACAGATGACATGTGTCAACCAAGTCAGCGAGCCTGACCACCCGATCCCGTTAGTCGCCTCTTACGACAAGCATAATCGCCTTGTATGGCAAGCATGGGTTGCTGAAGACCTATTCTACCCCGGATCTTCACGGGTCTGACTGTATTGTAGAAACTGGACTCTTAGCATTATACTTCTTGTGTTTTTTTCTGTTTTTCCAAAACAGAAATTGGTTGCTTGATGTTTTAATCCATTTCAATAAGCAGAGGATCCTGTCATTTCATCGAAAAACCTGATTACAAATAATACTCTTTTAAATGTAATGTTTTGGTCCAGTATGTCTACTTAGATTTATGATAGTTCAACTTCTATTCATGTGTTGAGCGCAAATAGACCCTATCTACGCAACTGGGAACCGATGACAAGTGTCAACCACGTCAGCAAGCCTGATGAATTCTAACCCGGATCTTCACGGGTCTGCCGAATTTATAAGTATGTTTGGCAATTGTTATATCATTTAGAATCTATTTATCTCCACTAACAAAATGAAATCGCAATCTTGAAATAGTGACACAGACTGTGTCTTATATAATAACACTGTCTCAATTCAAAATCACAAGAATCAGCAACACAAAGGGCACCTGTTTCTATTTTCCAGGTGTTGTGATGATGAGAGGGATGTTGGCGGAGTGGCTGCCGCCGCTGTGGCCGCCCATCATGTAGGGGATGGGGACGGGGATGCCGTGCCTGCTGTGGTGGCTGCTGTGGCTGCCGTGGTGACAACAGCAGGCGTCGGAGAAGGACAACAGGCAGGCTGCGATAGAGAGTATTTAATATGTTCTGAATAATTATGCATATGTGTTTGTTCTCAGGTCCATGGGGAAAGTATATATTATCCAAGCTTCCTCCCGCTTAAAGAGGTAACTATTCAGTCGTTTCTGAACGCAAAACTTTCCGGCTCCTAATGTTGAATAATATAATGACGCTCCATCAGGACCAGAACATCGCAAGCAGTGTTACACCCCCTAGAGAGATTAAAGGTAATAATATATTATGATTCATTTATATAGCGCCTAGTATTCGTCTGACTAGTTGCTTACTGGACGCTGTAATCAGAATCTGATTATTATTACCCAGGAAACCCAAACTGCCTGTCACATGACTTTATCCACCGGGTACCCATTTTCTGCTGGGTGAACAGAGGCAATTTTGAACAAACTCACTTGCCTAAAGTGAGACCACATGTATCACATGTGCTTCCTTGTGAGGCAGGACTGAAGTCCAGGAAACCCTCAGCTGTCACACACGGTCACCTATCGAAGGACTGTCCGAGCTTAACTTCAACTGATTCGTAATCTGAGCTCTACGCACAGGACCACACACTCCACAGTGAAAACATGAATAATAATTGTACCTTGAAGGAAAATAAACTTGTTGGGAAATATTTTGTTTTCTCTTGTTTTCATTCAAAATATATAATACTTAAAAAACACGTTTACGGACTCACCTGCAAGTAAAGCCATAAAGAGTCCGATGAAAGTATTCATTTTGATGAGGTTTTGTCTCGGTAGATTGTTATGATGTTCTGAGATTTCGTGTTGGTATATATAGTGAGAGACGAGTGAGTTCAGACGCATGAAATCGGATTAGCTGTTTGTGTAGCTGAGGCACCAAGCTGTTCTCACCGCAAGTAAACCACATGTGGAAATTGTATGTAAAATACATTACATATCTCAATGAAATACCGGCGAATTCACGTTGTAAGTATCTTTCACACATTATAACAGCACATTCCGTGACCTGATGTCAACCGTTTCGAAACGATTCGGCAAGTCACGGAATGACGCGAATGATCACGATTCCCCCCGACGGTTGACGGTGATGTATCAGTATAAAACTTGACCTGTTTTCTACTTTTCATTGAGAGAGGATGTATAATCTACATTGAAATGCGGTTAAGTGTACAATTAAAAGTATAGTCAATACCCTTTGTTTTAAATCGATGAGATTTACAAGAAGAAAACATGAATCCATTGTCTCTGTGTGGTTTCTGTTTGTTCGGTTTAATTTTAATTTATTTAAGAGGTTATGGTAACATGACAGTAACCCAGACCTATTTCATAAGTGGACCTTTTACATTGTATCCGCTTCAGGAATCGAAACCAGGCCGTCGGCATGATAAATGAACGCTTGAACCTCAACGCTAACCCGCCTTCTATGTACAGGGTGTGTTAGTTTGAAGTCGGTTTTGACGGTATCATAGTAGAATGAGCTACATGTATTGACAACCGATGTTGTTGGTCTACATCCTGTATTCTAATAGTATAAAGTGAAAGATTGATAAATGTGTTGATGTAAATGTTTAAGTATTTGACATGGTCAGTCTTCAAATTTTTAATTGAAGTAAACTGCGATCATGTTAAGGTTTTACTGTACTTTGTGACTAGTGTTTAACAAGGCAACTGCTCTCGTCACTCACACATACATGCCACGCCGTAAGGCTTGTAATGGTCATACCATTGCTATTAAACGGGCCCTGGTTACAAACCCTGACAATACGGCTTCACCAGCTGTTGTTGAAGACCCAATACCTTCAGTGACGCAGCAAAGGACAAGACATGACATCCCCATCATGTAACATATGTTATATTTGGAATTACACTTTCTAAGTAAGGTACAGCTTCTAGTAATTTGTTTTGGTGAGTCCCATCCCGGATTCGACTTTGTGTGCTAGCGATAAGGTGCCTGACTCTGAGGGCGTGGGTTCGAATCCCGGATGGGACTCAAACCATCAAAAGTACCAGAATCTGTACTTTACTAAGAAAGTGTAATCCCAAATAGAACATATGCTACATTTGACGACGTTCTAAATGGCATTATGTATTCATTGCCATCATAATGTACTATGTTGTTGGTGAGTAAAAGTGCATAGAAATGCGTCTTTTAAAGTGTTTGAACGGCATTTAGAAGTGAAACACACATTTTCCTAGCTTGTATTTGTTCATATTTACCAAGCAGCAAGAATGACCTACTGGGTTTCTCTTGTTTAGTGCGCACCATTGTTATCTTAGTACTATATGTTGTACTTATATTGCTATAAACAAAACGTGACTATTTTAT